TGGTCGATGTGTCCATATATATGCTGACACCACCCCTGGGGCGAAAACACACACACCAAGAAGAGGGACTGCTGAGAGAAGCACACAAGGAGCCGTAGGGAACGGACCAGAGGAGGCTTCCCTCAGGCGGGATCCGAGATCCCGGAACAGGGCGTACGGAGAGAGAAAATAAACCAGAGGCTATCCGCCGACTACTCGTGTCGTGTGTTTTTTCCTGCCGGCCGGGATCGACACCGACATTTGGTGGCCCGTACGGGGAACTGATCACCCCCGAGACGAGGCGGACGACGCTCCAGTATTGCTCTGCAGGACAGGTGAGTAGGGGATAAACCTGGGCTCTGGGTGGCGCGCACCTACAGGGCTTTTTAGACTCCCCTCAAGCTCACGTGTATGTGGCAGGTTAGCCTCACACGGTGAGAACGGACTCCTCAGTGACAGGCATGGGCAACTTACCCACTAAGAGTTCCAAGTCACTGGTAAGAGCGGTGAAAGACCTGCTCAAGATTTCAGGTATATCAATGAGCTCCAAGACACTTACGGAGTTTCTCCAACAAGTAGATGAGGCGGCACCCTGGTTCCTGCCGACGGGGCACTTGTCCCTACCTTGCTGGGAGAAATTAGGTAAGGATTTAGAAAGAGCAGAAGAGGAGCGCCGACTCCCACTTTCGGTTCGGCCGCTCTGGGAGATGATTCATTCATGCCTCAAAGGGGAGAGGAATGGGGCTAAGGATAGCGCAGATGGGCTCTCTCAGGCCCGCCGAGCTTTTGAAGGGGCCCGTTCGGAGTCCTCCCGAGAGGGGTCCGTCGCAGGGAGCGTGCGGAGGCGCTCGCGAGAGCGAGGCAAGAGAGAGGTACCCCCTGCCTCGGATTCCTCGGGCTCAGATACCTCGGAAGGCGAGGACAATGAGGCAAGTGACCCCCCTAATCCCTTTGCAGCTTTACGTAGAGACCTAGTCAAGATGCAGACAGACCTAGAGAAGGGAAGGAAACTCCTGAGCACTCCCCAACGGAAAGCCGTAGAGCCTTCCGCGCCACCCTGGGAGGTCCCAAACACCGGTTCCTGTGGTGAGATGGCGGCCTGGGGCCTTCCTCCGTCACCCCCCCCATGGAGGGAGTGGCCTGGACCGTTGTCACATGTAGGGCCACCATCTTGTCTGCCTGGCGACCCGCCATCTTGTGCCCCAAAGACTGGTCGGCCATGTTACAAAGAGATACAATTTTGTGATAGGGAGGGACAGACATCTCATGGGGAGGCACCACCCTGTGAAAAAATGCCAAGGTCCCAGGGAAGGTATTTTCGTAGATGGACATTTAAAATGGAACAGATTCCTCAAGGGGCGAATGAGTATGAACAATGTGGGCTTTATCCGGTGCTCCTGGCGCAAGGCCAAGGACCCAATTACTGGGAACCACTGGAGATCAAGCAAATTAAGGAGCTTAAAAATGCGGTTGCCACATTTGGCCCTACTGCTCCTTACACTATAACTATGTTGGAGAATTTGTCTGCCGGTGGCTTTCTGACGCCCAGTGATTGGACCCAACTGGCTAAAGCCTGCCTGGCCCCCGGGGCTTTTCTGGATTGGCGCGCCTGGTATACTGAGTTTGCCGCCGAACAGGCTGAAAAAAATGCGGCTAGGGGCCATAGGGGGCAAAATGAGGATATGCTTATGGGTAAGGGTCAGTACGCTCAAGATCAAACTAGATTCCCTCCAAATGTGTATGAACAGATACATAACATAGGCATCCGCGCCTGGAAGCAGGTAAACAACACAGGGGTGGCCTCACAATGCCTCTCTAAAATTGTTCAGGGCAACACAGAACCTTTTGTGGATTTTGTGGCCAGAATGCAGGAGGCAGCTGACAGACTCTTTTCAGATCCGAGTGCTGCTGCTCCTCTTATTAAACAGTTAATCTTCGAACAGTGCACCAAGGACTGCAGGGCAGCCATAGCACCCCATAAAGGTAAAAGCATAGAGGCTTGGATTAAAATTTGTAGAGAAATAGGGGGGCCATTATCCAACTCAGGCGTGGCTGCCCTTTTAGCCGCCGCCTTACAACAGACAGGGCCTCAGAAGACCAATCACCCTGGTAAGCCCAGGGGATGTTTCCAGTGTGGGGATCCCAGCCATATAAGGAAAAACTGCCCCAAGACCGGACAGGGGGAGTTTATATCCAAGAGACAGGAATCAGACAGACGAACGGGAACCTGCGAAAGGTGCGGTAAAGGTTCTCACAAAGCAAAAGATTGCAGATCTATTTTTGATGCCCAGGGGAACCGTATTAGTGGCAGGGAGACTACGGAGCCAAAAAACGGCCAGAGGGGGCCCTCCTTACGGACGGGCCCCCACTCCCTAGACAGGACAACACAAGATGGCACCCCCCCACAGGGGCCACCCCCGGGCCAGCAGGCGTGGACCTCTGTGTCGCCTCCAGACTCCTATTAACACCCGATATGGGCGTTCAGGTGGTTGAAACCACCTCCAAAGGACCACTACCCGACAAGCTAGTTGGTTTAGTGATTGGACAGTCCTCCACAGCCCTCCGGGGCCTTACCGTGATCCCTGGAGTTGTAGACCCAGATTATTTAGAAAACATCAAAATCATGGTACAATCTCATATAGGGACCATAGTAATTAATGAAGGGGATAAGATAGCACAACTTTTACTGTTCCCCAGTCTCCATGAGAGACCCCGGTCCGGTCAACGGGTTAGAGGGGGTCAGGGACCTGGCTCCTCTAAGGAAATTTTTGAAGGACTTCATATGACTCTTGATAAAAGGCCCATGCTATCGCTCAGGATTAACGGAAAAAAGATAACAGGACTCCTAGATACAGGGGCAGACCGTTCCATCGTCTCCAAGAAAGACTGGCCTCCTAGTTGGCCTACCAACACAGCTGACAACACGCTCCAAGGATTGGGGATAGTGGCTGCCCCCCAGGTTAGTGCCGTGACCCTGCCTTGGGGTGATGAGGAAGGTCACCGAGGACATTTTCAACCTTTTGTTTTGCAGCTGCCAGTATCCTTGTGGGGAAGAGACGTTCTCACCCAGATGGATGTCACTCTTACATCCACCTGCTCTCCCCAAGCCAAAGGGATACTCAAAAATCAGGGATATGTCCCCGGCAAGGGCCTGGGCGCAGCCCTGCAGGGCCGGACATCCCCCGTACCTGTAGAAAAAAGGGAAGGTAGACACGGGTTGGGTTTTTCCTAGGGGTCACTGAGAAACTTCTCCTGCCCGCTCCAATTAAGATTACCTGGAAATCTCAAAATCCAGTTTGGGTGCCTCAGTGGCCCTTACCCAAGGAGAAGCTTTTAGCATTAACTGAGATAGTCAAAACCCAGTTTCAGGCGGGACACGTAAAGCCGTCAACCTCCCCTTGGAATACCCCTGTCTTTGTTATCAGGAAGAAATCAGGCAAGTGGAGGCTGCTCCATGATCTGAGGGCTGTCAACTCACAGATGCAGCCCCTGGGGGCGATCCAGAGGGGACTACCAGCCCTCTCAGCCATCCCTCGGTCCTGGTCAGTCTATGCCATAGATCTTAGAGACTGTTTTTTCTCAATCCCCCTGCATCCAGAGGACACCCACAGATTCGCCTTTACCCTACCCACCATTAACCAAGAGAGTCCTGATCAGAGGTACGAGTGGGTTACATTACCCCAGGGTATGGCCAACAGTCCCACCATGTGTCAGATGTATCTTGATTTTCTACTGGCCCCCTTGCGTGAAGCCTTCCCCAAAATTAGATGTATTCATTACATGGATGATTTGCTAATCAGTGCAAAAGATGTGACTGAGTTGGAGGATATGCTTGGCCAATTGGTCAGGGCCCTGAGAAAGGCAAATTTACATATTGCCCCTGACAAGATTCAGGGAGGAGACATAGTGACCTACCTGGGCACCAAAGTCTCCCCCACATCGATTTCTCCACAAAAGGTAACCATCAGAACAGATAGCCTAAGGACCTTGAATGACATGCAAAAGCTACTGGGAGATATAAACTGGATCAGACCTTATTTACACATCCCTAACTCGGACTTAAAGCCCCTGTTCGACCTCCTGAAAGGAGACCCGGATATTGCCTCCCCCAGGGAGTTCACCCCGGAAGCCAGAGTTGCTCTGAGAAAGATAGAGGAAGCCCTAAGTACAGCTGCATTGCGGAGAATTGACTCAGAACAGCCTTTTGAGGTCTGCTTGTTGCAGACCGTTTCTCAACCTACGGCAGTGATTTGGCAAAAGGGACCACTTTTGTGGGTGCACCCTAAGGTCTCACCTGCCAAGATTATCAAACATTATCCGGAAACGGTCGCTTCCCTGGCCTTGGAGGCACATGGCAGGGCTATCCAACATTTTGGCTCTGCACCCCATGCTATCCGGGTACCTTATACCGCTTCTCAAATAAAAATCCTGACTGCTTGTATAGATACGTGGGCCATCCTGAGATGTGTTTTTCTTGGGGAGATAGACAACCAGTTCCCCAGGGACCCCATACTACAGTTTGTTACTCAACATCCGGTGATATTTCCAAAAATCACCGCGTCCACACCACTTACTCCTGCAACAACGATCTATACGGACGGGTCAAAAACCGGGATAGGGGCCTATGTGGTCTCAGGTATGCCTCCGATCAGCATACAATTTGAACCAGATCAACCACAGGTGGTAGAGTTACAAATTGTACAAACCGTCCTCGAGAAGTTCCCAGGGGCCCTTAATATTGTTTCTGATTCAAAATACGTTGTTAATGCCATGCAGGTCCTTGAGACTGCGGGCCCGATTAAGCCAACTTCCAAAGTAACTAATTTGTTTTTGTCTATCCAGACTCTGCTGATAAATAGATACAACAAGATATACATCACTCACATAAGAGCACATACGCGCCTGCCAGGGCCCATGATACAGGGCAATGCGACAGCTGACGTGGCCACTCGCCCGTTGTGGATACTCAATATGTTATCTTCAATAGAACAAGCCCGTCTGTTTCATGACAGATTTCATGTCAACGCCAGGACGTTAGCCAACCAGTACCACATTTCCAGGGCTGACGCGCGGGACATCGTACGGTTATGCGGCTCTTGCGCCACATACACACCCGTCGTATCAACGGGAGTTAACCCCAGGGGATTGATTCCTGGCGACACTTGGCAAATGGATGTCACACATATGATAGAATTCGGATCTCTTAAATATGTTCATGTCTCTACGGACACCTGCTCTCATATTATATTTGCGACTGCTAAAACTGGCAAAAAGGTGTCTCATGTAATCAATCACTGCCTGACAGCTTGGGCCGCATGGGACAAACCAAAAATATTAAAAACTGATAATGGACCAGCTTATACAAGCAGAGCCTTTAATGAGTTCTGTGAAAAAATGGGGGTACAGTTAAAACATGGCATCCCATACAATCCCCAAGGTCAAAAAATTATTAAAAGGGCTCATAGGAGCCTTAAAAAAATTCTACAAAAACAAAAAGGGGGAATAAGTCAGGGCCTGCCCCCAAAGGCACGGCTCTCCATGGCACTGTTCACATACAATTTTCTGAACCTGAATAACAACAATCACTCCCCGGCCATGGAACATTGTAATCCATCTCCTGGCAATAGGGGATGGGTGAAATGGAAAGATGTCCTGACGGGACAATGGATGGGCCCGGATCCAGTAGTTAGCTGGAACCGAGGTGCGGTTTGTGTTTTCCCACAGGAACCAGGACGAGAACCATTGTGGGTCCCAGAACGGCTGACGCGCGTGGCGAATCCAACGAAACATAATGCAGGAGACACTCCAAAACTCAACGGCAGCGGACAGCCTAATCAAGATCGGTCCGACCAGGATATTGCTGCTCGACCGAGGAATACCGTATGACTTATGGGACACAGTAATGATTATGCTCTCGATAGTAATTGGCTCTCTTTTAGGGTACGGTGCAGCCAGAGTGGCTAGGCCACGCCGCCTTCCGGCAGCCCCCTTCCTTCTGGTTTTGATGCTCACCACCACTACTGAAATAGGAGCAGACTTGGTGTGGGCAGCAATACATCATCCGCCAGCGCTAGCCGCTATCTCCACCACAGCCCCCTCTCTCCCAAAGTTGTATGCAAAAAACTGCTCCGCCAGATTGCCTTGCATACCAGATATACCGTTAACCATCAGACCCATACGTTTTGACCTTCCCATCACCAATGATGTGGTCATTTTTTCCACTAATAGTAACCCCTCGTGTCACCGGGGATCCTGCGTTAGCTTCCTGCCCCTCCTTGTAAAATGGTACAATACCTCCCTGACGGTGAGGTTGTCTGTCCCATCCCTGCATTCGCCTGGATGTTTTAAAGCTGGCACACTTAGCGGCGGAGTCATCACTTTTAACTCAACCTGCAAACCCCGAGCAGCCATGCACACCCGTCCCGATTTCCCCACATGCCCATACCGTGTGTCCCCAAGCCGAAAAAGACAGATGGTGGACCTGTCACAACTTTCATGGCAGCCCTGTACTGTCGACGGCGTGGGAGTGACTCATCTAAACATGTCTTGGTGGTCCCGGTTCTCTCCTCCATCCGGTAGTAACAACATATTCGCGTTGACCTGGTGGGAGTCCTACCTGAGAGTGAACAACAAGTGGGCAATAAGCTTCCCCTTCCCCCTTAATGAAAATTGGTTGTGCCTCTCCACCGGAGCCTGCATGGACTTAAGACCCATGCTCGCTATTAACGCTTCTGCCTCTAATGGAACCACCAATGTCACCCTTAATTCTGAGGCTGCATGCGTAAAACCGCCCTACTTATGGGTATTCTCTGCTGACATCTCCTTTAAGTGCAGTAACCAACCATGCTTTACAGGGAACTGCTGAAATGGGTCTTTCCCGTATGCTATGTTGGCTCTTCGACCCCCACTGATGTGGGTTCCCTTTAACGAATCTGTTTGGGTTCATCCCGTCTATCAGCAGGACCAACTACCCATGCTCAGACGTAAGAGAGATTTTGAGATCACAGCGGCCCTGACAGCACTGTTCGTGACTCTGACTGCGACGGCTGTGACGGCTGCCGTTGCTCTGACCCAGTCTACGCTGACGGCTCAGGCCTTTACCAATCTTACGGACACCACCTCCCTGGCGCTGAGGGAGCAACAAGAAGTCAACCTCCTCCAGCACAACGCCATAATGGCGTTACAGCAGCAGATCGACCTAATCGCTCAGGAAGTCCAGGGACTCTGGGAGGTGGCTAACAATTTATGTGACGCCAGATGGGCATTCACCCAGTTGTGCGTTACCCCCATCCAGGTCAACCGTTCGGCTTACAGGCAATTTCAGGATTATGTTCTCACCACCTATAATTCTTCCTTTTGGAACGCTAGCGTGCGCCTGGATATGACTATCCGGCAGCTAGATCAGATAGAGGTGCCTATACTTACAGCCTCCTTTTTTGATGATGTCCTAAGCCAGATAGGCTCTTTCTTCAAACCTTCGTCACTTCTTGCGTATGGGATCATTCTTGCTCTTGTGGCTGTCACTCTCGTGACTCTTAGGTGCCTGCGGTCGATAAGGGCGACCCAAAAGACACATATGACATTGATGATGTTGCTGGCCCAGAGTCAAGGGGATTCCACACCTAGCGTTTTCTGGGCTCAGGCTAGAAAGGCACGGCTCCTTTAACCAGTACGTGGCTGCCCTCGCCATTATTCTTACGGATGTTCTAGTATTATTACGTACGTCTCCTTCCCCGTCGCGGCTGCGAACTTAGACTAGAAGGACCCCACGCTTAAGGCGTGTTCCCATTGATAATTAGAAAATAGTAATTAGTGATTGTAGTGAACGGGGATTATGGTTGGTAATTAGTGATTACGCGGTTCCTCAAATGTCACTCGGCAGACCCCTCCGTGTCTCCCCCAAGATATAAGCTTTAAGAGTTGAGTGGGCAAGCCAACGACGGGTAAGACGGGAGAAGTTCTCCTGATCAACCTAAGACAGGCTCTACTCCAAGGGTCCTCTAGGGAGTAAGAGTTATGACATTGAGATGCGAGACCAAGGGTACTACAGTGCCATCCGCCTCAAGGGTTGAGGGGAAGGCAGGAATGAATGTCTATATGCATCCAGGTTCGGTTCACAAAAGCCTGGCCCTGCGAAAAAATGAACCACTCACCTTGAGCATGGTCCTGGCGCAAGGATATGTACGAGACAAGGTGATACACAGCAGGGTATAGACCTCTACATTCTCTCATGCCTCGGCCTGCGAAATAGGCCCACTCCCAGACACCTCACATGGACCCACAGACCACACTATCTTAATAAATAAAGAAGGGGGAGATGTTGGGAGCCTGGCCGAGTGATATGAGGCCTGTGGTGAGGAGTGAAGCCTGAGCTAGATTGCCCCTCCCGTCGACCGAGTGATATGAGGCCTGTGGTGAGGAGTGAAGCCTGAGCTAGATTACCCCTCCCATCGAGTATGCCAAGATGGCGCCCATTTCCTGCTCCCTAGCTAGTAAACAACACGCCCTGTAAGCTAGTCTGCCCAGCAACAGCTGACGCTGGCCAATCAGCTCGTCTTGCCTACTTTGATGTGATTGGTCGATGTGTCCATATATATGCTGACACCACCCCTGGGGCGAAAACACACACACCAAGAAGAGGGACTGCTGAGAGAAGCACACAAGGAGCCGTAGGGAACGGACCAGAGGAGGCTTCCCTCAGGCGGGATCCGAGATCCCGGAACAGGGCGTACGGAGAGAGAAAATAAACCAGAGGCTATCCGCCGACTACTCGTGTCGTGTGTTTTTTCCTGCCGGCCGGGATCGACACCGACATTTGGTGGCCCGTACGGGGAACTGATCACCCCCGAGACGAGGCGGACGACGCTCCAGTATTGCTCTGCAGGACAGGTGAGTAGGGGATAAACCTGGGCTCTGGGTGGCGCGCACCTACAGGGCTTTTTAGACTCCCCTCAAGCTCACGTGTATGTGGCAGGTTAGCCTCACACGGTGAGAACGGACTCCTCAGTGACAGGCATGGGCAACTTACCCACTAAGAGTTCCAAGTCACTGGTAAGAGCGGTGAAAGACCTGCTCAAGATTTCAGGTATATCAATGAGCTCCAAGACACTTACGGAGTTTCTCCAACAAGTAGATGAGGCGGCACCCTGGTTCCTGCCGACGGGGCACTTGTCCCTACCTTGCTGGGAGAAATTAGGTAAGGATTTAGAAAGAGCAGAAGAGGAGCGCCGACTCCCACTTTCGGTTCGGCCGCTCTGGGAGATGATTCATTCATGCCTCAAAGGGGAGAGGAATGGGGCTAAGGATAGCGCAGATGGGCTCTCTCAGGCCCGCCGAGCTTTTGAAGGGGCCCGTTCGGAGTCCTCCCGAGAGGGGTCCGTCGCAGGGAGCGTGCGGAGGCGCTCGCGAGAGCGAGGCAAGAGAGAGGTACCCCCTGCCTCGGATTCCTCGGGCTCAGATACCTCGGAAGGCGAGGACAATGAGGCAAGTGACCCCCCTAATCCCTTTGCAGCTTTACGTAGAGACCTAGTCAAGATGCAGACAGACCTAGAGAAGGGAAGGAAACTCCTGAGCACTCCCCAACGGAAAGCCGTAGAGCCTTCCGCGCCACCCTGGGAGGTCCCAAACACCGGTTCCTGTGGTGAGATGGCGGCCTGGGGCCTTCCTCCGTCACCCCCCCCATGGAGGGAGTGGCCTGGACCGTTGTCACATGTAGGGCCACCATCTTGTCTGCCTGGCGACCCGCCATCTTGTGCCCCAAAGACTGGTCGGCCATGTTACAAAGAGATACAATTTTGTGATAGGGAGGGACAGACATCTCATGGGGAGGCACCACCCTGTGAAAAAATGCCAAGGTCCCAGGGAAGGTATTTTCGTAGATGGACATTTAAAATGGAACAGATTCCTCAAGGGGCGAATGAGTATGAACAATGTGGGCTTTATCCGGTGCTCCTGGCGCAAGGCCAAGGACCCAATTACTGGGAACCACTGGAGATCAAGCAAATTAAGGAGCTTAAAAATGCGGTTGCCACATTTGGCCCTACTGCTCCTTACACTATAACTATGTTGGAGAATTTGTCTGCCGGTGGCTTTCTGACGCCCAGTGATTGGACCCAACTGGCTAAAGCCTGCCTGGCCCCCGGGGCTTTTCTGGATTGGCGCGCCTGGTATACTGAGTTTGCCGCCGAACAGGCTGAAAAAAATGCGGCTAGGGGCCATAGGGGGCAAAATGAGGATATGCTTATGGGTAAGGGTCAGTACGCTCAAGATCAAACTAGATTCCCTCCAAATGTGTATGAACAGATACATAACATAGGCATCCGCGCCTGGAAGCAGGTAAACAACACAGGGGTGGCCTCACAATGCCTCTCTAAAATTGTTCAGGGCAACACAGAACCTTTTGTGGATTTTGTGGCCAGAATGCAGGAGGCAGCTGACAGACTCTTTTCAGATCCGAGTGCTGCTGCTCCTCTTATTAAACAGTTAATCTTCGAACAGTGCACCAAGGACTGCAGGGCAGCCATAGCACCCCATAAAGGTAAAAGCATAGAGGCTTGGATTAAAATTTGTAGAGAAATAGGGGGGCCATTATCCAACTCAGGCGTGGCTGCCCTTTTAGCCGCCGCCTTACAACAGACAGGGCCTCAGAAGACCAATCACCCTGGTAAGCCCAGGGGATGTTTCCAGTGTGGGGATCCCAGCCATATAAGGAAAAACTGCCCCAAGACCGGACAGGGGGAGTTTATATCCAAGAGACAGGAATCAGACAGACGAACGGGAACCTGCGAAAGGTGCGGTAAAGGTTCTCACAAAGCAAAAGATTGCAGATCTATTTTTGATGCCCAGGGGAACCGTATTAGTGGCAGGGAGACTACGGAGCCAAAAAACGGCCAGAGGGGGCCCTCCTTACGGACGGGCCCCCACTCCCTAGACAGGACAACACAAGATGGCACCCCCCCACAGGGGCCACCCCCGGGCCAGCAGGCGTGGACCTCTGTGTCGCCTCCAGACTCCTATTAACACCCGATATGGGCGTTCAGGTGGTTGAAACCACCTCCAAAGGACCACTACCCGACAAGCTAGTTGGTTTAGTGATTGGACAGTCCTCCACAGCCCTCCGGGGCCTTACCGTGATCCCTGGAGTTGTAGACCCAGATTATTTAGAAAACATCAAAATCATGGTACAATCTCATATAGGGACCATAGTAATTAATGAAGGGGATAAGATAGCACAACTTTTACTGTTCCCCAGTCTCCATGAGAGACCCCGGTCCGGTCAACGGGTTAGAGGGGGTCAGGGACCTGGCTCCTCTAAGGAAATTTTTGAAGGACTTCATATGACTCTTGATAAAAGGCCCATGCTATCGCTCAGGATTAACGGAAAAAAGATAACAGGACTCCTAGATACAGGGGCAGACCGTTCCATCGTCTCCAAGAAAGACTGGCCTCCTAGTTGGCCTACCAACACAGCTGACAACACGCTCCAAGGATTGGGGATAGTGGCTGCCCCCCAGGTTAGTGCCGTGACCCTGCCTTGGGGTGATGAGGAAGGTCACCGAGGACATTTTCAACCTTTTGTTTTGCAGCTGCCAGTATCCTTGTGGGGAAGAGACGTTCTCACCCAGATGGATGTCACTCTTACATCCACCTGCTCTCCCCAAGCCAAAGGGATACTCAAAAATCAGGGATATGTCCCCGGCAAGGGCCTGGGCGCAGCCCTGCAGGGCCGGACATCCCCCGTACCTGTAGAAAAAAGGGAAGGTAGACACGGGTTGGGTTTTTCCTAGGGGTCACTGAGAAACTTCTCCTGCCCGCTCCAATTAAGATTACCTGGAAATCTCAAAATCCAGTTTGGGTGCCTCAGTGGCCCTTACCCAAGGAGAAGCTTTTAGCATTAACTGAGATAGTCAAAACCCAGTTTCAGGCGGGACACGTAAAGCCGTCAACCTCCCCTTGGAATACCCCTGTCTTTGTTATCAGGAAGAAATCAGGCAAGTGGAGGCTGCTCCATGATCTGAGGGCTGTCAACTCACAGATGCAGCCCCTGGGGGCGATCCAGAGGGGACTACCAGCCCTCTCAGCCATCCCTCGGTCCTGGTCAGTCTATGCCATAGATCTTAGAGACTGTTTTTTCTCAATCCCCCTGCATCCAGAGGACACCCACAGATTCGCCTTTACCCTACCCACCATTAACCAAGAGAGTCCTGATCAGAGGTACGAGTGGGTTACATTACCCCAGGGTATGGCCAACAGTCCCACCATGTGTCAGATGTATCTTGATTTTCTACTGGCCCCCTTGCGTGAAGCCTTCCCCAAAATTAGATGTATTCATTACATGGATGATTTGCTAATCAGTGCAAAAGATGTGACTGAGTTGGAGGATATGCTTGGCCAATTGGTCAGGGCCCTGAGAAAGGCAAATTTACATATTGCCCCTGACAAGATTCAGGGAGGAGACATAGTGACCTACCTGGGCACCAAAGTCTCCCCCACATCGATTTCTCCACAAAAGGTAACCATCAGAACAGATAGCCTAAGGACCTTGAATGACATGCAAAAGCTACTGGGAGATATAAACTGGATCAGACCTTATTTACACATCCCTAACTCGGACTTAAAGCCCCTGTTCGACCTCCTGAAAGGAGACCCGGATATTGCCTCCCCCAGGGAGTTCACCCCGGAAGCCAGAGTTGCTCTGAGAAAGATAGAGGAAGCCCTAAGTACAGCTGCATTGCGGAGAATTGACTCAGAACAGCCTTTTGAGGTCTGCTTGTTGCAGACCGTTTCTCAACCTACGGCAGTGATTTGGCAAAAGGGACCACTTTTGTGGGTGCACCCTAAGGTCTCACCTGCCAAGATTATCAAACATTATCCGGAAACGGTCGCTTCCCTGGCCTTGGAGGCACATGGCAGGGCTATCCAACATTTTGGCTCTGCACCCCATGCTATCCGGGTACCTTATACCGCTTCTCAAATAAAAATCCTGACTGCTTGTATAGATACGTGGGCCATCCTGAGATGTGTTTTTCTTGGGGAGATAGACAACCAGTTCCCCAGGGACCCCATACTACAGTTTGTTACTCAACATCCGGTGATATTTCCAAAAATCACCGCGTCCACACCACTTACTCCTGCAACAACGATCTATACGGACGGGTCAAAAACCGGGATAGGGGCCTATGTGGTCTCAGGTATGCCTCCGATCAGCATACAATTTGAACCAGATCAACCACAGGTGGTAGAGTTACAAATTGTACAAACCGTCCTCGAGAAGTTCCCAGGGGCCCTTAATATTGTTTCTGATTCAAAATACGTTGTTAATGCCATGCAGGTCCTTGAGACTGCGGGCCCGATTAAGCCAACTTCCAAAGTAACTAATTTGTTTTTGTCTATCCAGACTCTGCTGATAAATAGATACAACAAGATATACATCACTCACATAAGAGCACATACGCGCCTGCCAGGGCCCATGATACAGGGCAATGCGACAGCTGACGTGGCCACTCGCCCGTTGTGGATACTCAATATGTTATCTTCAATAGAACAAGCCCGTCTGTTTCATGACAGATTTCATGTCAACGCCAGGACGTTAGCCAACCAGTACCACATTTCCAGGGCTGACGCGCGGGACATCGTACGGTTATGCGGCTCTTGCGCCACATACACACCCGTCGTATCAACGGGAGTTAACCCCAGGGGATTGATTCCTGGCGACACTTGGCAAATGGATGTCACACATATGATAGAATTCGGATCTCTTAAATATGTTCATGTCTCTACGGACACCTGCTCTCATATTATATTTGCGACTGCTAAAACTGGCAAAAAGGTGTCTCATGTAATCAATCACTGCCTGACAGCTTGGGCCGCATGGGACAAACCAAAAATATTAAAAACTGATAATGGACCAGCTTATACAAGCAGAGCCTTTAATGAGTTCTGTGAAAAAATGGGGGTACAGTTAAAACATGGCATCCCATACAATCCCCAAGGTCAAAAAATTATTAAAAGGGCTCATAGGAGCCTTAAAAAAATTCTACAAAAACAAAAAGGGGGAATAAGTCAGGGCCTGCCCCCAAAGGCACGGCTCTCCATGGCACTGTTCACATACAATTTTCTGAACCTGAATAACAACAATCACTCCCCGGCCATGGAACATTGTAATCCATCTCCTGGCAATAGGGGATGGGTGAAATGGAAAGATGTCCTGACGGGACAATGGATGGGCCCGGATCCAGTAGTTAGCTGGAACCGAGGTGCGGTTTGTGTTTTCCCACAGGAACCAGGACGAGAACCATTGTGGGTCCCAGAACGGCTGACGCGCGTGGCGAATCCAACGAAACATAATGCAGGAGACACTCCAAAACTCAACGGCAGCGGACAGCCTAATCAAGATCGGTCCGACCAGGATATTGCTGCTCGACCGAGGAATACCGTATGACTTATGGGACACAGTAATGATTATGCTCTCGATAGTAATTGGCTCTCTTTTAGGGTACGGTGCAGCCAGAGTGGCTAGGCCACGCCGCCTTCCGGCAGCCCCCTTCCTTCTGGTTTTGATGCTCACCACCACTACTGAAATAGGAGCAGACTTGGTGTGGGCAGCAATACATCATCCGCCAGCGCTAGCCGCTATCTCCACCACAGCCCCCTCTCTCCCAAAGTTGTATGCAAAAAACTGCTCCGCCAGATTGCCTTGCATACCAGATATACCGTTAACCATCAGACCCATACGTTTTGACCTTCCCATCACCAATGATGTGGTCATTTTTTCCACTAATAGTAACCCCTCGTGTCACCGGGGATCCTGCGTTAGCTTCCTGCCCCTCCTTGTAAAATGGTACAATACCTCCCTGACGGTGAGGTTGTCTGTCCCATCCCTGCATTCGCCTGGATGTTTTAAAGCTGGCACACTTAGCGGCGGAGTCATCACTTTTAACTCAACCTGCAAACCCCGAGCAGCCATGCACACCCGTCCCGATTTCCCCACATGCCCATACCGTGTGTCCCCAAGCCGAAAAAGACAGATGGTGGACCTGTCACAACTTTCATGGCAGCCCTGTACTGTCGACGGCGTGGGAGTGACTCATCTAAACATGTCTTGGTGGTCCCGGTTCTCTCCTCCATCCGGTAGTAACAACATATTCGCGTTGACCTGGTGGGAGTCCTACCTGAGAGTGAACAACAAGTGGGCAATAAGCTTCCCCTTCCCCCTTAATGAAAATTGGTTGTGCCTCTCCACCGGAGCCTGCATGGACTTAAGACCCATGCTCGCTATTAACGCTTCTGCCTCTAATGGAACCACCAATGTCACCCTTAATTCTGAGGCTGCATGCGTAAAACCGCCCTACTTATGGGTATTCTCTGCTGACATCTCCTTTAAGTGCAGTAACCAACCATGCTTTACAGGGAACTGCTGAAATGGGTCTTTCCCGTATGCTATGTTGGCTCTTCGACCCCCACTGATGTGGGTTCCCTTTAACGAATCTGTTTGGGTTCATCCCGTCTATCAGCAGGACCAACTACCCATGCTCAGACGTAAGAGAGATTTTGAGATCACAGCGGCCCTGACAGCACTGTTCGTGACTCTGACTGCGACGGCTGTGACGGCTGCCGTTGCTCTGACCCAGTCTACGCTGACGGCTCAGGCCTTTACCAATCTTATGGACACCACCTCCCTGGCGCTGAGGGAGCAACAAGAAGTCAACCTCCTCCAGCACAACGCCATAATGGCGTTACAGCAGCAGATCGACCTAATCGCTCAGGAAGTCCAGGGACTCTGGGAGGTGGCTAACAATTTATGTGACGCCAGATGGGCATTCACCCAGTTGTGCGTTACCCCCATCCAGGTCAACCGTTCGGCTTACAGGCAATTTCAGGATTATGTTCTCACCACCTATAATTCTTCCTTTTGGAACGCTAGCGTGCGCCTGGATATGACTATCCGGCAGCTAGATCAGATAGAGGTGCCTATACTTACAGCCTCCTTTTTTGATGATGTCCTAAGCCAGATAGGCTCTTTCTTCAAACCTTCGTCACTTCTTGCGTATGGGATCATTCTTGCTCTTGTGGCTGTCACTCTCGTGACTCTTAGGTGCCTGCGGTCGATAAGGGCGACCCAAAAGACACATATGACATTGATGATGTTGCTGGCCCAGAGTCAAGGGGATTCCACACCTAGCGTTTTCTGGGCTCAGGCTAGAAAGGCACGGCTCCTTTAACCAGTACGTGGCTGCCCTCGCCATTATTCTTACGGATGTTCTAGTATTATTACGTACGTCTCCTTCCCCGTCGCGGCTGCGAACTTAGACTAGAAGGACCCCACGCTTAAGGCGTGTTCCCATTGATAATTAGAAAATAGTAATTAGTGATTGTAGTGAACGGGGATTATGGTTGGTAATTAGTGATTACGCGGTTCCTCAAATGTCACTCGGCAGACCCCTCCGTGTCTCCCCCAAGATATAAGCTTTAAGAGTTGAGTGGGCAAGCCAACGACGGGTAAGACGGGAGAAGTTCTCCTGATCAACCTAAGACAGGCTCTACTCCAAGGGTCCTCTAGGGAGTAAGAGTTATGACATTGAGATGCGAGACCAAGGGTACTACAGTGCCATCCGCCTCAAGGGTTGAGGGGAAGGCAGGAATGAATGTCTATATGCATCCAGGTTCGGTTCACAAAAGCCTGGCCCTGCGAAAAAATGAACCACTCACCTTGAGCATGGTCCTGGCGCAAGGATATGTACGAGACAAGGTGATACACAGCAGGGTATAGACCTCTACATTCTCTCATGCCTCGGCCTGCGAAATAGGCCCACTCCCAGACACCTCACATGGACCCACAGACCACACTATCTTAATAAATAAAGAAGGGGGAGATGTTGGGAGCCTGGCCGAGTGATATGAGGCCTGTGGTGAGGAGTGAAGCCTGAGCTAGATTGCCCCTCCCGTCGACCGAGTGATATGAGGCCTGTGGTGAGGAGTGAAGCCTGAGCTAGATTACCCCTCCCATCGAGTATGCCAAGATGGCGCCCATTTCCTGCTCCCTAGCTAGTAAACAACACGCCCTGTAAGCTAGTCTGCCCAGCAACAGCTGACGCTGGCCAATCAGCTCGTCTTGCCTACTTTGATGTGATTGGTCGATGTGTCCATATATATGCTGACACCACCCCTGGGGCGAAAACACACACACCAAGAAGAGGGACTGCTGAGAGAAGCACACAAGGAGCCGTAGGGAACGGACCAGAGGAGGCTTCCCTCAGGCGGGATCCGAGATCCCGGAACAGGGCGTACGGAGAGAGAAAATAAACCAGAGGCTATCCGCCGACTACTCGTGTCGTGTGTTTTTTCCTGCCGGCCGGGATCGACACCGACAATTGCAGTGAGAGAATAAAAGCTCCCCTTGGAAGAGGAATAATAGGATCTGGGATGCATCTCAGTGGAAAAGCATTTGCCTAGCATGCATGAGCCCCTGGGCTCTGTCCTCTGCGTGACCAAAAAAACCCATAAGGATAATGGATTATATGTGCTAAAACATCACCGCCTCTATGAAAATGTTTGTGCCTTTAAGAGCTGTCCAAGTGGACATGCTACCTATGGCTAAGTGATCTTTGGTTATCCTAGGCCTGCTTTATGAGTGAACTGTCACCCAGAGGTGGATGATATTGAAAGAAATGACAAACCGACTGTTCACTCTCTTTGCAGAAGGTAGACCGAGAAGAAATGGGCTTAAATAGCAGCAAGAGATTGGGGTCAGATATAAGGGAAAACAATTTTATTTTGAGGACAGTGTGGGCTATTAAGGCAATTTTGGATCAATCTTTCTTGTAGCTCTTAGTGGATCATCAAATTCCCATCTTTCTGAGGCAATTTAGACATGGGTTTATTTCATGTTAGGAGACTAAGCAAAATCACTGCTCAAGGTCCCTTCAAATTGAAATGACATTCAGTGTGGGTTTGCCTTTTTCACAAGAAATCCAATATCCTAAGTTCAATTTACCAAAAAGAAAAAAGAAAGTGTGTAGAAGTGGAAACATGGGAAGTACATTATGAAAGGATTTTGGAATGTAATAAAAGACTCACTACAAGTTTAATCTATATAACAAGCTATCTTCTAGTATATATAGACTAAAGGTCAGTAAATTACAGCCTGGAGACCAAATCTGACCTGCTATTTTTGTAAATAAAGTTTTATTGGCGCTCAGGAACATTCCCCATTTGTTTACCTACTGTCTATGGTTGCTTTGGGGCAGCAATGGCATGGCTAAAGAACTGCTACAGGGGCAGGCACAGAGCCCACAAAGCGTAAAACATCTGCTATCTACTCCTCTCTGTCCCTCTGTCTTTCTGTGTCTCTGTCTCTGTCACTGTCTCTCTGTCTCTGTCTCTCTCTTTCTCTGTGTCTCTGTCTCTCTCTCTCTCAATCTCTCTCTCTCTCTCTCTCTCTCTCTCTCTCTCTCTCTCTCTCTCTCTCTCTGTTGAACCCAGAACTTTCACACTGGGCTACATCTCCAGGCCTTTTGAAATGTTTTTTAGTTTTGGCGATCTTCCTGCCTCTGTCCCTTGAGTGCTGCGATTATAGGGGTGCACCACCATGCCTGGCCAACACTTTATAATTTTTGAGTTTGGTTTCTCCTCACAAGTAGGAAAATGTGTTTTGGGATTTTATGTGCATAGGTTTATGTTTTTTGACAGCATGATAGATTAAATTGTGTCTTTCCACACCCACCAAGGCCAAAAACAAAAAGATACTTTGGAGGATGGGGTATAGCTCGTGGTACAGCACTTGGCAAACAAGCTCAAGGCCCTGGATTTGATCCCCAGTGCTTAAGGAAAAACAAAACAAAATGAAAAACAAACAACAACAGCGAAAAACTCACTGAAAAGAAATCTTGAAAGTCCAAAATCCAAGTATCTCATAAGGTTGTGGCAAATGTACGTATAACTGAGACAAGGAAGATGAAGTTATACTGTGCAGGGTAGATTCTAATCTAATTTGACTTTAAGTTCTTCAAATGAATAGACCTGTTGCTGGGTAGAATGGCGCACGCTTGTTGTTCCAGCATTCTAGGAGGCTGAGGCAAAAGGATCAAAAGTTTGAGCCCAAACTCTGAGTATTTTAGTGAATCCTTGTCTCAAAAAAAAAAAGAAAAAAGAAAAAAGAAAAGAAAAGGGTTGGGAAAACCAAGCATGATGGTGATGGTGCACACCTATAATCTCAGCCCTCAGGAAGCTGAGGCAGGATTATCGCGGTGAATTCAAACCCAACCTGAACTACAAGGCAAGACTCTGTTTTAAAAAACATTTTTAAAAAAAGACTGGGTATGTAATTCATTGTGAAAGCTCTAGATTGAAACCCTAGTACTGGAAAAAGAAGAACGAGGAGGAGAGACAGTGGAGGAGACAGTCGTGTAAAAACAGACACACAGTGAGAAAGCCATGTCCATACCAAAGCAGAGAATGAAGCTAAGCAGATACAAGCCCAGGAGCACTAAAGATTCCCAACAGATCACCAGAGGCTAGGAAAAGGCTGAGAAGGAGTTCCAGACAGTTCCAGAGGGAATGTGGCCCTCCTCTTACCACCCTCAAGAACTGAGAGAAAATAAATTTCTATTATTGGAAGCTACTCAGTTTGTAGTGTCTGTTATGGTAGCCACAGGAAACTAAGACACAAAGTGAAGACAAAATGTCATGAGGATGGCTCTCCATTGCCTCTGCTGAGTAGGAATAAGAACAGAACAGTGAGACCCTTACATCATTTCGGTGCCTCATATTTTCCATTGGCTAAAATTTCCTTCTTCTGAAATATTCTAACAAGTTGCTTGTTGATTTTGCCTGCTTGTCCCTGCCAGCTCCAGCCAGGCCCTCTCAGAATAGTCCTACCCAGCACTAAGGCCTTAGTATGAGAAAAATGTCAAAAGCTATGACTCAAGTGATCTACCCTTAAGGCGGAATTTCTGGAACCCTAGGGTGGATAGGTGCCATTTTGGAAGACCACCTGTTTGTTTTGCTTTTGGTTTTTTGAGATAGGGTCTTGCTATGTCATTTAGGCTGGCCTGGAACCCACTATGCAGCCCAAATTGGTGTAGAACTGTGATCCTCCTGCTTCAGCCTCCCAAGTGCTAGGATTATAAACATGTACCACGAAGACCAGCTCAAGAATTTCAACAAGGGTTAAAAGAACTTTTTTATCCAGGAGACAAGGTCTATATAGTCCAGGATGTCCTTGAACTCACTATGTAGTCCAGGCTGGCCTTGAACTTGCAATGATCCTCTGCCTCAGCCTCCGGAGAGCTGTAGAAAAGTTTCTCCTCCTTCTCTCACTTACCTGAAGTACACAGAGTTAATCTTATCTGCTTGATTTAATATGTATATATGCCAAAATAAATCTCTCCTCTTTAAAACAAGGAACTAGCTGAGCATGGTGGCACATGTCTTCAATCCTAGCATTCTGAAAGGCTGAGGCAGGAGAATCCACAAGTTCCTGTCAAACAGAAAACCCAGCTCTCTCTGCCGATCCAGTGATGGAGATAATGCCCTTCAGGTCACAATCCCAGTGAATCACCTCCTATTAGGCCTTACCTCCTCAGGGCAAGTCAGTTATTTGCCCTGTGGTCTACTTCACAAACCCTGTCTCTGAACACTTGAGACTTTGGGTAGGGGGCATCCAAATATGAACCATAACAGGAATTGGAGGCAGCCGTCTTCAAGAAGAAAGATAGGGCTTTCTATTGTCAAACACAAATACCTTTCTAATATGAAGGGGCAAAAACAACGAGCCAAGAGTGGTACAGACTGGTGGTTGAGCAAGAAAGTTCTTTGTTCTTTTGTCCTGACCTGCATGCCAGTGGAAAATCATAGAACCTCTCTGTGCGTGTTTCCTCCTTACATGGGAGGACTAATTCTATCTGCCCTGCCTAAGTCCCTAGGACACAGAATGAACAAAGGCCAAAGGCCCGTGGTGGCCCTAAACACATATCAGGTATTAATTCTTGACTGGTTTCCTACTTGCTCGACTTCCTCAAAGCTTCCTGGCTTGACTGCCTTTTCTACTTTGGAGTCCATACAATTTTGACTTCTTGTTCTGCAAAGAAACTTTAGATTACTCACAGAGGTCTTGGCAAACACCTCCTCCAAAGTCTCGAAAATTCTCTATTAAGCGCTTTTTCTTTTTCCTGCCAAAGAAGACAGACTCGAAGTGCAGATATTCCTAAGGAAAGAGAAGCAGTGGCTGAACATCCCACCTAGGCCCAGTCCCGCCATGGCCTTGTCCTGAAATTTGGAGTAGGTGGTGCTGAAGGGGGAAGACAATAGCAGGCGTGTGGAGATGGGAGACATTACCAGTGGCCTGCCAGCCTGTTTGGATGAAACAGTCATTGCTATGTCTCCTAAGGCCCACGAGGTGACATTCCCGCACCTCCCAACTCTCATCTACAATTCTTCCTCTTTGTTCTTTCTGTTCCCATTACCCGGCCTCATCAAACAGGCCAGGCTTGCTTCTCATACAGGGACTGTAGTTATCCCCTCTAGCCACAAGGTTGGATCCTTATGGCTTTCAAAGAAGACATCTCTGACCCCCTATTTAAAGTTTCATCCTCTTCTCTCCCCCTAACACTGCCCAGACCCCACTCTTGGCTTATTTTTCTTCACAGAATTTTTCCCCATATTTCTTGCTAAATACTTTATGTCTTTTTTAAAATTTTGTGCCTCCCCCCCACTAGAATACTGATTCCACAAGGGAACCCAGGAGTTTTCCAATCTATTTTGTTTACTGCTATATCCTCAAGAATTTACAATAGTTCCTGGAACCAGTAGTATGTGCTCAGTAAATATCTGCTGAATGAATCAATTTATGAAAGAATGATTGGTACCTTCCTACTATTTCTTTGACTATGAGATCCTTGTGAATGATTGCATGCCTATGTGTGAATATGACTGGAAGGCTCAAAGGGAAGATCACATTGAATCCCAAATCAGTGGACAGCGGGAAAGTAGACTCCCAGAAATCCGTGAATTATGCATAGCAGTTCAAACGAATGAGAGGAATTAACTGAGCATGATGGCCTGAGCCGATAATCCCAGAACCCAGAGGGTGAGCTAGGAGGACCACTATGAGTTCAAGGCCACCTGGAACTACAATAGTAAGACCCTTTAAAAATAAATAAGTCAGATAACCATAGTGGTGCATATCTATAATCCCAGCACTCAGGAGACTGAGCCAGGAGGTTTGTCACAAGTTTGAAGCCAGCTTGGGCTACATTAGTGGGTTCAAGGCCTGCCTGAACTACATGGCAAGACTCTGACTCAAAAAAACAAAACAAAACAAAC